GGCTGTGTTGAGTTAAAATGGTGCTGCAGTGGTGACCTTGATGGCTTCCATGTTCTCACAATCTCTGCATACGTTCTCCACATTCCATTTTCCCCTTCCCTCCCCACACTTCATTGGCAAATTGAAAAGCATTAAGGTGTGAAAGAAGTAAAGTGGTTCAATCTTGACACCAACATGCTTTGGTCCCAGCTTTTTGGAAAGTTGCCTGGACAGCAGGTATTTTGTAGACAGGTAAACATGGTCCCCTACTTTAAAATATTTGGCCTTTATTTGCTTTTTATTGGTTTGTGTTTTGTAACTTTTTCTTTCTCCAGTGACTTTCTAATCACTGGCCAGGTATTTTGTAACTGAGTAACTCAATCCTTCAGTGATGTGATAGGAGAGGTGGCTAGGGGCAATTCAGGCATGCACACAAAGTCTTGTCCTGTAGTCACTTTAAATGGGGTGAAACTTAGTGTTGCTATGTACAAAGTTGTAAACCATCTCAGCAAATGGGAGAAGGTCTGTCCAATTGTCCTGCTGGTAATTGATGTAACATCTGAGGTATTGTTCCAGAACCACATTCTAATGTTCACAGTCCCCATTCATTTCTGGATGATTACTGGAACTAAGCCCCTGGGACATTCCAAGGAGTTTTAGAAACTCCTACCAAAACTTTGAAGTGAATTACACTCTGTGATCAGAGATCATTCATTGCGAAGCATTGTGCAGTCTATAGATATGTTGAATGAACAGCTTAACCAGAGTGTGGACAGAAGGAATATTTTGGCAGGGCACAAAATGTACCTGCTTAGAAAACAAGTCAGTGATCACCGAGAGCATGATATTCCCTCAACTTTCCACTATGCAGTCCATGGAGATTTCCATGGGGCACTAGGCTCCGCTATCGGCTGAAGGAGTTCTGGTGTTTTCCCTTGCTATCACTTTGCTGAGGCACATACTGGGTAACTGGCCACATAAGTCTGAATGTCCTTTTTAAGTGATGGCCATCAAACCTACCACTTAATTAGGATAAAGTCTTTACAAATCCAAAATGCCCTGCAATTTTTGAGTCACGCCTTTTCTCCAATATCAGCAATTTCTGGCTTTTGGGGACATATAGTTTGGTTCCTACCCAGGCTAGACCACTCTGTATTGTACATTCATTTTGTGGGTTTGGAACCATTTGTTTCCCTCTAGTGCTGCCTTTAGGGTCTCTTCACCTATTTGGAATTTCACCTTGGCCTGTGCTCGGATGGTTACTGGTGCCACAAGCTGGTGGGATGGGATGACAAGTCTAAGTACCTCCAGCTTGGAAAGGTTGTATTGAGGCATTCTGGATAGCACATCCACTAAAAAAATCTTTCCCCTGGGAGGTATCAGAGGATGCACTTGAATCAATTAAAGTACTGAGCTCATCAGACTTGCTTGGGTGACAACTTTGGGGTATTTTCAGGGCTTCTAAATTTTTATGGTCAGTCCACACCTCAAAGGGTATTTTGCTCTCTTACAGGAAGTGCCTCCAAGATAGAAGTGCCCAGCACACTGTGTAAGCCTCTTTTTCCCAAACTGCCCACCGACACTCAGTGCCAATGTGTTTTTTGGATGTGTACACACATAGGACACCCTGGTTGTTTCTTTGTAAGAAAACTGCCCCCACGGCCACATCACTAGCATCTGCCTGAATGATAAATGAGGCATTAGGGTCAGGCTGTTTCAGCACTGGCTCAGCTGCAAACAGGTGTTTGAATTTCTTATATACTTCTTGTCTTTCCTTTGTCCATTTCAGTGGCTGGCTGGGTTTGGGCTTCCCCTCTCCATTTGTTTTTAACAGGTTGGTGATAGGGAGGGCAATTTGGGCAAATAATGAGATAAATTGGTGGTAAAAGTTCCCAACGTCCAAGAAACTTTGCAGTTGCTTCCTGGTGCAGGGTGGAGCCTACTCTAGCACAGCCCTGACCTTCTCGAGATCCATCTCTATCCCCTCAAGGGTGATGCAGTAAGCCAGGCAGTAGATATTAGTTTGGTGGAACTTGCTTAGTATATAGCTGTGCAGCCCAAAGTTTTTAAGGACTGCCCTAATCAATTTTACATGTTCTGGCATAATGTCTATGGAGATTCTCAGTCATCCAGGTCATGGTTGTCCCAAAGGTGCTTTTTGAGAACAAAACATTTTCAAAGAAAAAACCAGAAAACCCAGTTGCCTCTTGAAAAAGCACCTTTGGGACATGTCCTGCCATAGTTTCAGTATAGATCTGTATGTCATCCAGGTACCAAAACCCCTTTATATAAATGCTCATGCAGTACCTCATTTATTAGCTGCATAAAGACAGGGGGGGTGTAGTCCCAAAGGGAGAACTCTGAATTGAAATCCCCCCAAAGGGCATTTAAAAGTGGTTTTCCATCCATTCCCCTCTTTAATTCGAACTTGGTAATAGGCTTCCTGCAAATCCAGTTTAGTAAAGATCTTCCCTTTTGCCAGATGGGCTGCTAACATGTCGTTCATTTTACACATACACCACTCTATAGTGGGTAAACATTTTTTACACATGCACCACTCTATAGTCCATACATAAATGAGGGACCTGTCCTTTTCTTTCCCAGAACAGGACCAGGACAGCTACCCTGGGTTGGGCCAGGTGGATGAACCAACATTTCAAATAATTGTCTATAAAGGACTGTAATTCCTCCAGTTCTCTAGAAGTCATTAAGTAAAATTTGGGCTTAGGCAGTTTAGCCCCTGGCAGGATTTCTATGGAACAGTCAGTTGTCTGGTGGGCTAAACAACATAATTGGTAAACATACACACATTATTTCCTGTTTGTATGATAACCGTGATCTGACCTTAGAATGGATTACAACCTATATTTCGGTGTAATCTAAAAAAAACAGAACAATTTCAGTTTTAATTTAAAAAGTAAAGATGTTCAATTTCTAATTAATCAGAATTATAATTCATTGGAATTAAAGGATCATTTTATTAGTTCATCAACTTTCAAAATGTAGCCAAATATATGCTCCTAGTTATTTAGTTAAACTAATTGTAACTAAAAGCATTATTCTCATGTTTCAGAAGATTGTGGTAAAAAAACATAACCAAACAAAGAATCAGTATGTATTAACCTTTCCAAGTGTCATCATAGTTACTACTGAGAGCAGATATAATTATATTAGGATAAAATGGACATATATGTTATTTATATATATATATATGTTTAGGGCAAAAATACTGCTGTTGTTCCTGTCCTCTGAAACATCTTGCCCCCTGATGTGAGGTTGTCCCCAACCCTCCTATCTTTTTGTAAGAACTTAAGGACATAGCTATGGCAGTTGGCTTGGCACTTCAATGGGGAATCAGTGGAATGGAGATGGTTAATTAATAAAAGATCCCACCTCCCCACCACTCCACCCCCACCATTCTCCTATCTTTTTGTAAGAGCTTAAAGATATGGCTATGGCAGTTGGCTTGGCACTTCAATGGGGAATCAGTGGAATGGAAAGGGTTAATTAATAAAAGATCCCACCTCCCCACCACTCCACCCCCACCATTCTCATATGTTTTTGGTTTTAATGTTTGTTTTTAACTTTTTATGTTTTAGATTTTATGTAACTGTAAGCAACCCAGAGTTACCTTATGGTAAGATGGGCAGCCAATAAATAAATAAATAAATAAATTGAAGTTGTTATTAAAGTTTCAATAATATTTGTTCAATATATAATGATAGAAACATTATTAAATTTGGTCAGTTTTCAAGACATCATTCAATTCAGCATGAGGAAAAAGCAAATGCAGCTGGGCTCCTGCCATAACATGCAGTTATGATTTAATCAAAGTAAAAAAAAAAAGCATGAATCTATTTTTCATTGTTTCTAAAGTTTTTCTTTAGAAACTTTAGAGAATAACCAGCGTTCTCCTATTCCTTGAGAACAGGGTGATTGCAATGATTTGTTTTGTTTCAGTGTAGTGTGGTCTGCTTTGCTTTTGTTACGGTATTTTTGCTCTTCTGCTCAATTGTATTCTTTGTACGATAGGTTTTTTAAAAAATTGCAAATCACCCAGTCATTTAGTCAGGCAGTCTGTACTTTAAATTATTATTTTTTTAAATAAAGGAAATAAGCAATGTGTTACATTATTTTTTCTACCAGGATAAAACTACAATCCAAGAGATGAAATGTCACAATATATGGTGTCAGGGACATATGATTGAAAAGTGGTTTAGTTTCATGATTCTTTCTCTAGAGTGCCACTTGGGAAAATCAGTAAAAGTAGATGCCAGTTGCAGGAGTGGACTGCTTTCTTTTTATAGAATTGCAAAATATAAAATGAACCTTAACATTCTTTTTTCAATATTTTTGACTATTTTTCTTCTAGTATATCTAGCTTACTATCTTCTTAAATCATGTTCTCTGTTAACAAGCCCTGCATTCATTTTGCATTCCCAGATTTGAGATAAATATAGGACTATAAATGATTATTAGTGAACAGCAGAGACTTTTTAGTTGTCATGTCTCACATCTACTCAGCTCAAGTTGACATTAGTCCTTCAAAATGATGGCAGTATTTAATTTATAAAACAAAGCATATATTTTTCCATGCAAAAGGCCTCTGTTTTAATTTATTGAATTTCCAGTGGGAAATGCATGCTAAGATGCTAAAGAGAAACTACCAAACAAAATAGAAATTACTTAGGTAAGTAACCTAGTTGTCTGATAAGATATCAAAATAAGTCTCATATAGCTTTAATTTTTTCCTTTGTTTTTAAAATTGTTTAAATATTATTAAAACTATTTTCTTTCAACTGCTGTTTTATTACATGTAAATTACTTTGAGAATCATCGGGGCTCACAAGCAGTAATTATTTTATATTCACAGTTTAAATTGCAAAACTTGTCCATTAAATATACTATTGCCTGTTAAATTGAAAACAAGACTAGTAATTTTTAAGGTTTTTTGTTTAAAGATATAAAATCATTCACTGAATTATCCAATCTTACCATGAGAATAGAAGAGCTCAACTTACCTCGTACGTGAACTGTGATTCCATGTATCATGTCACGAACTTTTAAATATTGGAATAGAAAAAGAAAACATTATTTTTTCAGTGAGTCCCCCAACCCATGAGCAGCTACTACTGAGTTAAAAATGTCACTGCTAGTGTAAGACATACCAAAGATTATTACTTTACAGAGAAATCACTTTAATATTATTTTATTGCCAGGGATGCATCAAATAGTACTTGACCTGGGTTGTACGAGACATTTGAAACAAATCTGGGGTTCAATGAAAAGAGAAAAGCAAAAAGCAAAGAATTGCTCACGCAAAAAAATACAGAACAGTTGATATATTAATTTTAATATCCTGCATATTAAATAGTAACTTGAATCAGAATAGATGTTACAGTAGTGTATTTTACCAAATTGTTTATTGATAAAGGAAATTGAACCAAAATTTATTCTTGATATAACAGCAATAGGACAGTAATGACATGATTAATAATACACATTCAACTCTGATAGTTTGGCATATCTTAAATATTACTTCCTGTATCAAAAGATGTTCATCCATCTTTTGAGCATTTATATTTCATTTGAGTGTTTCTTTCTTAAACTTGGAAGACCTAATTGAGACAAAGTTAAATGTTTCAGGTAAAAAAATCTAAAATGTATTTGCCATATTTTTTGGAGTATAAGATGCACCGGAGTATAAGACACAGCTTAGTTTTTGGGGAGGAAAATAGGGAAAAAAAAATCTGCCTACCAAGCTAGCATCTTAGTATGGTCAGCTTCAACACATTAGTTTGCTATTTTTTATCCCCTGCTTAGGGATAAAAAACAGCTTCTATAGCACAACTGATCTTTGGAGAGAGAAGCAATGAGAACGGACTTTGTCTTACCTGAACGTCCCTTTTCTGGGTGCTGTGACTACAATCCATGGATCGTTTATTTCATGTGTGTTGTTAGGGACTGAGTGTAGATTTTTTTCCTTCCTTTGATTGACCACGCCTCCTCTGCTCTGCCTACGTCAGTCTTTTGTAATGAAGGTGCAGGCATCCAAGAGTCTACGAGACAAGGTAAGCACACAAAAAGAAAACAAAACAAGGCAACCCACCCAGACAAGAGCAGGAAGCCAAAATGGGAGGGTATGGATTGTAGTCACAGTGCCCAGAAAAGGGACATTTAGGTAAGACAACGTCCGTTTTCCAGTGCGCTGCTTCTACAATCCATGGATGGGATATACCCAAGCTCACTTCTCTTGGGAGGGAGGCTGACTGCTCCCCGGGTCCAGGGTGGAGTGAACCTGCTGTAGTATCCTCCGACCAAATGAAGTCTCAGCCGAGGCGTAACTGTCAATCTTGCAATGACGGATAAATGGAGAAACCGAGGACCAGGTGGTCGCCCGACAAATGTCACTGATGGAAGCCTGGGTAGCCAAGCAACCATAGTAGCAGCGTTGCGAGTGGAATGGGCGAAGATCCTACCAAGTACAGATCTGGCCTTGAGCTCGTATGCTGTGGAGATGCAGGCTTTAATCCATCTGCCCACAGTGGAAGAAGAGACTTTCCTGCCCATAGAAGATGGGTGAAAAGAGACTAAGAGAGCCTCCGACCGGCGAAAGGAAGCCGTACGCCTGATGTATCAGCGAAGGGCCCTTCATACGTCCAAGGTATGCCAATGCTCCTCATGTGGATGTTGCGGGGCCAGGCAGAAGTCTGGCAAGATGAGCTCCTGGGCCCGGTGAAACCATGAGTTCACCTTGGGCAGAAACGAAGGGTCCAACCTCATCACCACTCTGTTGGAATGAAATATGCAGAGGTCTTTGCGGATGGACAAGACAGCGAGCTCCAAAATCCTCCTGGCGGACGTTATGGCTAGCAGGAAGGTGAGCTTGAAAGTCAGAAATTTTAGACTGATGGAGCCTAAAGGCTCAAACAGGGCAGATGTGAGCATTTGAAGAACCAAGGACAGATCCCACGATGGGTATTGATGGACAACCAGAGGACAGATGTTGGCAGCTCCTTGAAGAAAACCCTGAATTCTTGGGTTTTGAGAAAGCGTGCAGTGTGGATCACAAGTTAAAACCGTAGCTAGAGCCGCTACCTGGTGCCTCAAGGTAGTTGGGGCTAGACCTTTATCCAACCCCACCTGTAGGAAGTCAAGGACATCTGGGATTGAAGCCGATGTCGGGTCGACATGCTGCTTTGAACACGAGGCACAGAATGATCTCCACAAGGCCTCGCAAATACGCATTGTCGATGGACACCTGGAAGACTGGATGGTCTGGATCACCTTGTCAGATAGTTGATCTTTCCTCAGCAGGACCCTCTCAAGTGTCAGACGGTCAACTGGAGCCATTGGGGCTCTGGGTGGGTGATGACCCCCTGGCTGATAGAGACCTTGTGCTGAGGAATTGTCCAGGGTGGGGAGACAGAAAGACTCACCAATGTGGAGCTACTAATAGAAGCTCCGCATGTTCGGACAGCAGCTTCCGAATAACCCTCGGGATGAGAGGGATGGGAGGAAAGGCGTAAAGAAGCCCGAATGGCCACGGGCAGCGAAAAGCGTTGCATCCCTCTGCCTCTGCGCTTGGAAATCGCGAGTAGAACCTTGGAAGCTGAGCATTTTGAGGGCTGGCAAACAGGCCTACTAGAGGATGGTCGACCTCTGTGATAACTCCAGAAAGATGTGCGGATGAAGCTGCCATTCCGCTGGAACGAGTCTCTCCCTGTTCAGCCAACCCGCACGAACGTTGGAAAGGCCAGAAATGTGGTCTGCCTTGATTGACAGAGTGTGACATTCCACCCAGCTCAGCAGTTTCTCCGCATCGATCATTAGGGGTTTGGATCGAGTGCCCCCCTCCCGATTGACATGAACTTTTGTGGTCATATTGTCTGTGAGGATCAGCAAATGCTGTCCTTCCAATTTTGGGCAAAAATGATGGAGGGCCAGACGAACAGCTCGCAACTCCAGCCAATTGATGCTGTTCGTCCGTTCCTCCGGGGACCATTGTCCCTGAGTCACTTGCTCAAGAAGATGTGCTCCCCATCCATGAAGACTCGCATCTGATGTCAACACCAGACGTTTGGGTTCCAGGAACATGCACCCTTTCAGAAGAAGAGGCGATATCCACCATGTGAGAGACAAGTGAACTCGAGGGACAACGTAACCTGAGTCCTGGAATTGCCGCGTCCCGATCTTTGGAATGGCAGCAGGAACCACTGCAAGGGGCGAGTGTGTCTGCGTGCCCAGGGAACGATGGCTATACACAATACCATCTTCCCAAGAAGTTGTGAAAGCAGTAACAGGGAAACCAACCTTTGGGCCCTCACCTGCGCCACCAAGTCCTTGATGCTGAGAATCCGGTCGGGAGATAAGAACACTTGACCTTTAACCGAATCGATCACTGCCCCGAGGTGTAGAATACGAGTGGTAGGAATCAGATTACTTTTCTGCAGGTCGATGGAAAAACCATGCTGTTGGAATACATTGATCACCGACTCAATGTCCCACGCTGCCTGCAGAGGAGATGACGATAGGACAAGAATATCATCCAGATAGCAGAGAATGCGTATTGGAAGAACCCTGACAGTCGCAGCTACCACTGCCACCAGTTTGGTAAAGATTCTGGGGGCAGAGGAAAGACCGAACGGCATGGCACAATACTGAAAGTGATTGTTTGCATATTTGAACCAAAGGTACTTGCGATAAGCCGGGTGAATTGGCACATGTAAGTATGCTTCTCTGAGATCCACCGATTGTAAGAGATCTCCCTCCTGAACGCATGCCAGAATCGATCTGAGGGACTGCATCTTGAACCTGCGATAGAGAATGAACTGGTTTAGATGCTTGAGGTTCAAAATCTCCCTCCAACCCCCCAAGTTTTGGACACTAGGAACACTAGGAACAATGTGGAGTAGAACCCGGTCCTCTCCTGTTCTCTGGGCACCGGCTCAATGGCTCTGATGAATAACAGGTGTCGAATTTCGACCTCCATCAGTTGTCTCTTTGCCAGAAGAAGGGAAACTGGACAGCGTAGGAAGTGACTGGGAGGGCTGGAATGAAATTCCAGGCAGAGGCCATGAGCCACTGTGCGAAGAACCCAGGCATCGGACGTTGACACTTCCCATTGTCGGTGAAATTGCTGGAGACAACCACCAATGGGACCCGACAGCCACGAATCACTTGCCCCTCCTAACGGATCTGTAGCCAGCTCCTCGAAATGGTCGTTTAGCTGGGGCTTGGTATCTACCTCGATCTCAAAAGGACTGCCTATCGGAAGTACAATCTGCTCCCTGGGAGTAAGTAAGTATGTTGAGAGTAGGACCCACTGGGTCCGGAGAAGGATCGAAAGGGCTGCCTCTGTGAATAGGGAACATAGGCTCAGGCCTCCGATATGAAGAGCGGAGCACCTTTCGCTTATCTTTGTCCTCCACTAAGAGAGGATCAAGAGCTGCACCAAATAGGGTAGGGGCCTTGTAAGGTGCCGAGGTGAGCTTCCACTTAGCCTTCATATCCGCCTTCAATTATGGAGCTAGAAACGTCTGTGAGATGTAACAGCAGAAGCAAGGGCACGAGAGGCAAATTTTGTGGCATTCAAAGATGCGTCTGTGGAATACTTTGTAGCTGCCACCAATTTATTAATGTCCTGATGGAGCCTAGTTTCGTCAGGTGGAAGCCTCTCCTGCAGTTGGCGCAACCAAATGAGAGCTGCTCTGTTGAAGAACGAAGTGGAATTGGTGGCCTTAATCGCCCAAGTGGCAGCTTGATGAGTCTTCCTGAAGGCCAGCTCAGACTTCCTGTCCTTGGATTTGAGGCCATCAATGATGTCAGTAGAAATGATCGAAGATGAGGAAAGACTCGCCACTGGAGCATCTACAGTCGGTAAGGTCAAAAGCTTCTCCAGCTCTGGAGCAGAACAATAGAGTTTCTTGTCTAGTCCACTTGGGGCGGTTAGTGAACCACGTTGGCCCCATGCACTCTGAACTACCTCAGAGAACAGTAGAGGACAAGGGATTACCTCCTTGTTGGAGTTAGACACTTGAAACAAGGCGTCATGTGGGGCAGAGGCCGGCTGAGTACTTTCAGGCATGGTGTCCATCACACCAAACTTAGTAGTAACCTTAGCCTTGTACAGCAAGGATTTGAAAACTGAAGAGCGAAAAAGACCTGTGAACACTAGTTTATCTGGCATTAGCCCTTCATCCTCCGAAAACTCAATCTCCTCTGGGTAGTCATCTCCTTGCTCAGACTCCTCACTAGAAATAGACTCATGATGAGCTGAAGCAATAGGCCTGTCGGTCAAATGCCCCTGTGCCTGGGGCTGAGGGTTAACAGTCTGACAAAGGTTCCCTACCCCTTGTTGAATACCGGCCGCCAAGATTTTGGCTAGAGCGTCAAATAGCATGGAGTGAAGGTCTAACTGGTTACTAGGGACCCCAGAGCGGAGCCCCACAGCTGTTGGGGTAAAGGTGGCCTCCGGGATGCGCCTTTGAACCGCTGGTGGCTCAACAAAGTTTGCAGCAGAAACATCAGGCAAGGAAAGAGAAACTCCTTTTGACAGACCCAGAGCAGAAGTATTCTGGCCTCCAAATCCCCCTGAAGAACAACAGGGAATTTCAGTTGGCAGATGTTGAGGCACTGCACCCAAATGAGGCTGAGCGGATGGAACAGCCTCAGTGGCAGGGGCTCTGTGAGGTGTAGACTGGGCTGTATGCCTGGCCTTGTCATACTGTCTCTCCAACTCCTTGTGACGCCTTAGGGCGTCCTTGTCCTGAGCAGAAGTGCCCCTTGAAGATGCCAGCTGTGACTTGGCAACCTTGCTTCTAGTCTTAGTTTTGGTTCCTTTTGGAACTGCCTGGCAAGGCTTATGAACTCTGGGGGGGCTAACTTCCTGCTCCAAATCTGAAGACAGGGAGGAGTCAGTCATGACAATATAATATATCTATAGAAAAGTATATATATATATGCCAATAGAGAGAAATAGAGCTGGAATCTAATCAAGTCAAGTAAACAGGGTCCAGGAGAACTCATCAGTGAAATGGGACTATGGAACCCCCAAAGTTACGACCACTTCAGTCTCACACCAAGTCCTGGGTGCAGACGCTGAGTGCAGGGCCCCAAGTACAATAATCAAACCTAGAGTCTTAGCGGTGCAGCACGAAAGAACACGCTCTCCCAGCGCTGAGATTCCAGCCACAATCCAGGAAATTGAAGCGCAGGCTCAATCACTAGCCAAAAGGCGCTGCTTCGCTATAGTGGATGAAATTATGCAAAGTCCCGAAACTGAGGCTTTTCTTCCTCTTGTCACATCCACTGAAGTCTGCTGCTGGTCCCAAAATGGCGGCCGCCAGTCACTGACGGGACGAGAAAATGGCGGTCGCGGTAGGAAACCACTTGCTACCTTCCTCAGTGGCTCACGAAGCAGCAGAAATTGGCGCAACGTCAACTGACTTCCTCAGTGCTGCGAAGCTATCCTGGACCTCAGAGTGTGCCGCGGAAACCGGGCAGTGACTCCGGAGCTGCCAAACACAAAACAGAGCTGAGGTGGTGGCAGTTGTGCCGGCGGACCGGGAAACCAGCACACCTGCCAGTGGCTGAATCAATGTCGCGGATCCGCCCAGCCGGGTCAGAATCCGGACCGCTGCCCCCGTGAATGATGAGGGAGGCGCAGAACAGCCTGGAGCCCCAAGCTCGTTACTGCACTCTGGCAGCTTACAAATCCACAAACAATAGCGTAGCAGCTCCTCAGCGACAAACAGGAAAACAAAAAACTAAAATAAGTAAATCTAGCTGATCAATCCAACTAAATTCAAAGCTAAAGGCAGAGCAAGCGAAAAACACTAGTCTCCTCAGCAACTGAGTGAAAAAGACTGACGTAGGCAGAGCAGAGAAGGAGTGGTCAATCAAAGGAAGGAAAAAAATCTACACCCAGTCCCTAGCAACACACATGAAATAACCCATCCATGGATTATAGGAGCAGCGCACTGGAAAAAAGCAGGCAAACCACGGAGATCCCTTCACTTGCTTGTGCCTCATTAGGGCTAAAAAAAAGCTTCACAGCTGAGAGTCTGAGGGAGCAGGCAAAGCACGAAAGATTGCTTCACTGAAAAAAAGCTTAGCACAGAGATCGCTTCACTCACTAGCGCCTCGTTAGGGCTGAAAAAAAGCTTTGAAAAAGCTACATTTGGAGGATAAGACACACCCAAATTTTCAGCCTCTTTTAGAAGGGAAAAAAGTGTGTCTTACACTCCGAAAAATACGGTAGTTCTTTTTACTCAAGTCAGTAGGCACCAAAAATATTTAATACTGTCTAAATCACACCTTTGAGAAGATGGAATGCTGATTCTTCCTTGCACATAATCAAACACACACACCCCTCTTTCTAAAAGTAGTATTTAAATGCCAAAGCTTCCATGGATATCAGATTGTTTTTTGATGTTGTTAAAAAAGGCTAATTGCACATTTGGAGTCAGAATGCTACAAATTCTTAAAGTCTGGTTTCACAGGACAAGTTTCTTAATAATAGTTGAGCAATAATTGATTGGATATTTCTCTGACCCATAAATCATGGCTTGCAAGCAACAATGGCTATTTCATAAAACACACAAAGCCAAAATCAATAACTATATTATGGGTTAGCTTGATGCATGATCAGCATTGTCATTTACTTATATCATATATCATATCATCATTAACAGCACAAATCTGTCAAAGTTTGAACCTCAGATGCCTTGGAAATCTATGCTTGCATCAATCTACAGAAAAGCAAAGGTGGGTATTTCTAAGTGCTACATTACTCACCATTACTTCCAATAGCAGTTGAGTATTTCAGGCCTATTTTTAATAAAAGAAGAGTAAAGAATTTTTTAAATAAGCAGTTACATTTTTTTATATAAAAATAGAAGCACTCTCCTGACTATTTTAAAACTTGCTAGGAATAGTTCAGGAGATGGAACGAAAAGGAAACAAGAGGAAGAGAAAGGCTTCTTAAGTGACTTTTTTAAAAAATCAAGTCAATTAAAATGTTTTAATAAATAATTAATGGAAACGATAAAACTGCTAATTAAGGCTTGAGGCTTGAGACTGAATGATTTCTGAATTTCAACATGAGACGTAGTATCCAAGTTCACATTTTGTTCCTACAAATCCTGTCTGGAGAACAAAATGCTGACTATGTTAAACTAAAACAAAATAAACTTATCTAGTGGGAGAAAGGATATATCACATAAGGATAAGATTACAAATAATTAATATGTTGGTTTCTAGTAGTTGAATTTGACTCTTAACTACCATGTTTCCCCAAAAATAAGACCCGGTCTTATTTTCTTTTGACCTCTGAAATAAGCGCTAGGGCTTATTTTCAGGGGATGTCTTAATTTCCCCCCCCCCCACCTTTCAGGGCAGCTCACCATCCAAGAGAAGCTGAAAACAATGCTTTGGCTCTGGCCTCTGCTGCCGCAACAGGCACTGCTGGTGCTCACTGAGCATGCTCGAGGTCAGCAAACAGACGTGGTTGGAGCCACAGCTGCAGCTTCTTCCTGCTTTAGCTTTGTCCTCAGTCGGGAGCAGGGTGGTTCATGGTGAAATGGTGGGTGAATTCACTTGGAAGGTATTCCTAAAACCTCAGCAAGAGGGGAAGGTTGCTTGGGTAGTAGGCTGAGAAAGTGGGGTTAATACACAAGGTGTTGGTATGGGTCAAGCTTGGCATTTCACCTTCCTGCCTTTTGTGAACTTTTGGCTGCACCCAAGGAAAGCAGTTGCAGCAGAGACCCTGGCTTGTTTCTCTCCCACAAACTTCACCAGAAATGGGTCTTCGCAAGTGGCGGCATCGCTGTGATGAACCTCACGGTGGTGCCACTGCTCATACATACAAAGGTGCAACAAGCCTTGCAGTGTCCTGCCGCGAGTGGCTGCACCAGCACAAGTCTCGCAAAGACTTATTTATTTATTTATTTATTTATTTATTTATTTATTTATTTATTTATTTATTTATTTATTCGATTTATATGCCGCCCTTCTCCGGAGACTCAGGGTGGCTTACAATGCATTAAGCAATAGCCTTCATATTTTTGTATATACCTGATTAGTAGGGCTTTTTTGGGGCCCCCAAGCGTTGTTCTATTTTATACAAAGTCAGTTTATTGCCCCCACAAACCAGGTCCTCATTTTACCTACCTCGGAAGGAGGGAAGGCTGAGTCAACCTTGAGCCTGGTGATAATTGAACTTGCAGTAATTGCAGGCAGCTGGCAGCTAAGTGCTACTTTAACAGTAGTTTAGTCCGCTGCGCCACCAAGGCTCAATTTCTGGCAAAGTTTGGGGAAAAGAAACAAGCCAGGGTCTGCATCTGTTTCCTTGTGTGCAGCCAAAAGTTCGCAAAAGACAGGAAGGTGAAATGCCAAGCTTGACCTGTACCAACAACTCACGTATCAACCCCATTTTCTCACCCTACTACCCAAGCGACCCTCCCATCCTGCTGAGGCTTTAGGAATACCTCACAAGCCAATTCACCACTATTTCACCATGAACAGGGCTCCCCAAGGAAAGGAGGATCAAGGAGGATCAGCAGGAAATCAACCCCCCCCATTTTCCTGCTGATCATCCTTTCCTTGTGCCGAAGATGCAGAAAGAGCATTTTTTGATGTGCATCTGTACAGTGCTGGCAGGGCTGATGAGCAGAGAGGAGAGGATCTGGCTTAGGTAAGTATGGGGAGCGGGCAAGCAGAAGTGCAGGCTCTTCTTGCATCTTGTTGGCCACCTTGTTCATCATGGTTTGATTTTGCTTCAGATGCGGGAGAGGGAGAAAGATTGGAAGCGGGCAGGGTGAAGAAAACTCTTTCAGACAGTGATCTGTGAGTGTGGAGGGGGATTTTCCTGCCAATCCTCCTTTCCTTGGGGAGCTCTGCACAGATGCACATACCAAAAATGCTCCCTCCATGGCTTCAGAGCCTCCAGCCTTGCAATCCTGCACAGGGAAAGTGAAGGTTTGCTCCAAAGCTGCGGCAGAGCATAGTACTGGGAGGCCTCTGCAGGTAAATTGATTTGCTCATCTTGCTACAGCGAGAGGGTGCAGGCTGGGGGCTTGGTGGCCAGGGAAGATGGGGTTTTGGGTTGCAAAGGAGGAAGGGGCAATCTCCCCCTCCCTCCTGTTGCAGGGCCACCATGGCGCTCGCACAGGGCAGTGTGACCACTGGCAAAGGGGGCCCTGGCAGGCTGGCAGCAGAAGAGGTGCTCTGGAGTCATAGATATGGGCCAAGTTGCTCCACCTGTGAGAGCAGCACAGCCAGGAGGGTGAAGAGCCCTCACGAGGCCAGCAGCAGCAAGTGCAACAGGCCTAGAAGCCGGGCAGAGGCAGGGGGGAGACGATTCCGATGTGCTGTATGGCCTTCTGCCTCATCATAGCAGCAGTCTGAGCAGGACCTGAACTCCAGGCCTGGTGGAGCACAAACCATGGTCACCACCTGCCCCAGAGCCACAAGGTGAGCTGCTGAAGAAAGGGGCCCTCAGCTGTGAGGTTGCCTGGCACCGTGGGCAGGGGCAGGGCTTGCAAGTGTGCGCCAGAAACACCTCCAGGCACTCAGAGAGACAGAATGAGAGGCAGTTCCAAGCCCTCGCTGGCTCAGCTGATCCACAGGACAATGATTAAGGGGCCAAGTCTCCATGAGATGACCGAGGAAGGGAAGGGTCGCCTCCTGTGCTGGCCACCCCCTTCATTAGGGTTTATTTTTTGGGGTAGGGCTTATATTAGGTGCAAGCGTGAAAATTGGACAACAACTTGTTTTCGTGGTAGATCATATTTTCAGGGAAACACAGTATTTTTTACTATGTATTAAAACTTCAAGGCTGAATTCTTTCTCTTTCTCTAACTTTATTTGAACAATTCTGTAAAGGAGATTAAGTTGAATACTGTTGAATCTAATGGATTCATTTATGTATTAATATTCAAAACATTGTGATACAGGATTATAGCCTTTCTTTTTAATTCTTTGCACATTTACTTGAAAGTAGGTCACAAGGATGATTCCAGCCCTATTAAAATAAGTTAAAATAATAGCTATTATTGATAAAAATTAGAATATATCTTACCCGCCAGATAAAAAAATGGAAAAAGGGCAACAAAATAATTGGTTGAAGCCCTCAACTTCATGTTCACAGGAATGTTGATTCCCAAGAATGTCTGCACTTCAAATAATGGAATTCAGCTATATATAAAGACAAAAAGAGAGAAATAAATGATTTTGTTTCTGAGCATCTCCTGGCATTATTTCAAAATCTGTGGCATACCTGATTAGTATCCATAGAACAGGATACATGCCACACTGTTTATGAATTAAGATCTGAATGACATATACTTATTAATTTTAGTATTATTTATAATTTAAGATAATCAGAAACTATCAATATTAACTGTTAACAATATTATTTCAGGTATAATATAAATTTCAAATTCCAGAGATTAAGAATAAACTCCACATTGCCCAATTGCCACCTCTTTGAATGAGTTATTTTGATTTTCTAAACAAATAATTTGTTAGTAATTACTTTAAATGATTTGAACTATCCTACCCTTTAATACTGGATTGTACATTCACTAATTAAAATAATTAATGTTTCAAATTCTTAAATGATTACAAAATGAATTATCCACTTAATTAGACCAGTATAATCAAAATTATGCATAACATACAATTGCGGTGTAAATTTTTGTTTTATTTTTATAAATTATAATATTTTTATAGTTCTTCATAATTGTACTGTAATTGTAGTTTTGGTTAAAAGAAAATTTATGAAGTTGAAATGAAGCAAAGTTACTTCTCAGGAATAGGAACCCTAATTATTTTTATGTAATCGCTTCTCATTGAGTGGGCCAAAATCCTGCCCAGTAGAGGTTTGTTCCGGATTGCGTATGCTTTGCTGATGCATGCCTTTAACCATCGTCCAATTGTGGAAGAAGAAACCTTCTTGCCCAATGATGCCGGGAGGAAGGAAACAAAGAGGGCCTCAGATCGTCGAAAAGGCACAGTTCTCTTAATGTACCTGTGGAGAGCCCTCCTAACATCCAAGCTATGCCATTGTGCCTCTAAATGATGTCTTGGGCCCGGGCAGAAATCCGGTAGGACAAGTTCCTGGGCGTGATGATATAAGGAGATAACCTTGGGCAGGAAGGAAGGATCCATCCGCAGGACAACTCTGTTCGAATGGAAGATACAGAGGTCTTCCTTCACAGACAGCGCAGCAATCTCTGAAACACATCTTTCAGAGGTTATCGCCACCAGGAAGGCAACTTTGAGCATCAAAAGTCGAAGGCTGATGGAGCCCAATGGCTCAAAGGGAGCGGACATGAGAACTTGAAGAACCAGGGAAAGGTCCCATGTTGGGTAGTGATGGACAATGGGGGGCCGAAGGTTGGCTGCCCCTTTAAGAAAACACCAAATCCGAGAGTTATGAGACAGAGGATGATCGTCGTCTCCAGACAGGACGGTATGCAAGGCCACGACCTGCCTGCGAAGCGTGTTTGGCACAAGGCCCTTGTCAAAACCGTCCTGTAGAAATTCAAGAACTTCAGATTCAGATGCCATAGTCGGGTCAGTGTGGGTTCAGGAACACCACAAACAGAACAAACTCCAGGTCGCATTGTAGATCCTGGTCGTAGATGTGCGTCTAGAAGCTTGAATGGTGGAAATCCCCTGCCCCAAGAGATTGTCCTTCCTTAGGAGGATCCTCTCAAGTGCCAGAGAGATCCAGTCCCCGGGAATCCTCCAGGGATGGGCAACAGACAGGCTCACTAGGTCCACGTACCAGGGCCAGTGAGGCCAGTGTGGGGCGACTAGCAGGA